ACCAGTCATATGTTGGTTAACAAGACTTCCTGTTCGTCCAGTGTGCTTCTCATGCTTGGCTGTGCCAATCTTTACTCCCAGTTTTCGTATTCTTAGCAGTGATGTGGACACATTGCTTCCAAAATCCTCAGAACGTCCTATCTCTCTAAGGGCAATGACAATATCTGCGTGATCCACGGGGCGGCCATCTTCAGTTAATACAGCACCTGCCAGTCTATCAGCTCTCTCATTACCAACAGCGCCTGCATACCCTGGGACGAATATAAAAGTAACTGCACACACAGGAGAGTTTTGCAATGACTCAAACCACTGTCCGCGTAACCAGCCTGCCTCGACCCGCCGGATCATACTCAAAGAATCACTCAGCACACACACGCGGGAATAGTCATGTGATCCCAGCCACATGAAAGCCTGTGTCACCGCCATCACCTCCATCCTCATGCCGCTGATGATCATGGAGAAGGCACCGCTGGCTTCCTTAACTGTTCTGTCAGAAGAGCAAACTGTAAATGCCCATGCACTCTTTTGTCCTCGTATAACGGCTGTGTATAATGGCTGTGTTGTATGCTAGGTATGGTAGTGTGGTGCGCCGCTGTATTCTGTGTCCTTTATGGAGATAAAAGAAGGGGGGGGGGGGCGGAGAGGAGAGGTGATAATGGTGTATATAGTTTTGCTGCCTGTGGCGTGTGATATGTGATTATGTGGTTTGTGGCTGTGATATGAGGGTTATAATATGTGGTAGAAAAAAAAATCTTAGAACTCAAGTCACGTACACCGACCAGAGAAACAGATACCATAAACGTGACTCTGGTAATCAGTCCGATATATAACGTGCCCTCCGTCCGCCGAGACCGCCAGTGCGAATACCACAAGCACGCGCCTACATTAACGAGGAAAGATATAAAACCGAACGAAAAGTATATTAGCACGCGAGGAGGCAGGTCGGGCGCAGATTCCATGAACGCGTGTGTATGATAAGGCACTGGTCAAAGATCTCTCAGAAATGTGAACGATGCGATACAAGCAAATTAAGAAGTCATTAACATTTGCTTGTGGGTATACATCTCTCTCTCTCTCTCTCTCTCTCTCTCTCTCTCACTCTCTCTCTCTCTCTCTCTCTCTCTCTCTGTATGTATGTATGTATGTGGTGCGCACTATGTATGCGTTCTTTAAACCTGTGCTGTCTTGCAAGTATGAATATACAGGACTTCATCTCAGATCTGGATGCTGGGTTCGATCCCACCGGCGGGCCATGCGCCTTGCGTTGGTTTCGACAGTGGTATCAAGAAAGCAGACCTTCCAGAAGCAATGGCAAACTACTGGACGTAATTTGCCTAGAAAAACCACACAACACAAGGGGCTGTTGGGGTTGGTTCTGCAACGTCCTGTAAAGGATACGCAACTAATCACCTCTGATCTATAACATCCATTTATCGATAATGGGTAATGTAGAAAGAAGAAGGATTATATTATTTTCCACTGTTTATACTGACTAGTAAGTCCTGAGAATTTATCTTCTTATTTTTCTACTACTACTACAACAACAACAACAACAACTACTACTACTACTACTACTACTACTACTACTACTACTACTACTACTACTACTACTACTACTACTACTACTACTACTATTACTACTACTACTACTACTACTACTACTACTACTACTACTACTACTACTACTACTACTACTGCTGCTGCTGCTGCTTGTAGCACCTTCTAAACTCACCGAGACCTTGTCGCACCTTCTTATGGTGTTTCCGCACCACGGTCGAGATTCCTATTAAGCTAGCTTTCCAAAGAAAATCACATATTTCTACCAATGTAAAGCTCAAATGCCATTGATGCACTCCTTGTGAGTTCATATCCATTCATTTTCTGAGGATCGGAATATTCCTGTTTTGTATGCTCTGCCGTAGAGTACTTTCTACATCTATCAGATAATTATGTAGAGAAAGAAACACTGTGACTGGCTGGCTTGTTTTTGCTACTACAACAGTGAGGACACATATCAGACTCACCTACACTGGACTACAGGTTGCTTTGTAATCGTTTCGCGGCGCCACATTGTAACTTTTCTATAAGGCTATAAGGAAGATTGGCTAATTAACAGCATCTTGTCTCAGATGCTGAAATATTTTAGTCATATCAAGCGCTGACTGGACAAAATAAAGCAGAAGGTATGGTACCAGGAAGGAGGGGCAGGGGCCGACCAACACGAAGATGGGCACAGAATATAAGTGACTCCTTGAATATGAAAGTATACGAGGCGAGAAAGCTGGCGAAAGGGTTTCTTTCAAGCAGACCGTGATGAGAGCGACGTTCTGCAAATGACTTGCTACGTGATTATATGGCTATACGCTTGCACGGGATACTAGGGTTTTGTGCCTGTTTTGTTCTAATACTTGAGATGTTAATCCTAGAGACCGTAATCCTGGAGGGGACAACTAAAACAAGACAGCAGCAGCAACAACAACAAAAATAACAACGACAGCAACAAAGAGGACACGCCAGACAATCAGTTGCTGCCACAGGGACGAGTGACGCCAGCTCAGCCTCAAATGACTTGGTGAGACAGCATCAGCCGTTTCCTGTCAGGAAACCGACGAAGTATAGACACTTGAAACCCGAGCAGACGTTTGACAAAAAGTGCGCGTGTTGTTGCACTCATCCACTCTACAGAGGACCAGGATGTCGGCTGCAGACACCTTGAGACTGCAAAACATCACGGCATATCAAGCGACTGAGCCCGCCCTGGCTCGGCTGCCAATCGTCTGATGAACTGTGACGCCTAGTGGCATAAGCTGTTATTTACAACAACAAAAAAGAAGTTGCGTATTCTTTACCGGACGTTGCAGAACCAACCCCAGATTTGTGTGTGTGTGGCTGTTGCTGTTTTTCTAGATAATGTTCAATAGTTTGCCATTGCTTTTATAAAATGCCCTAGAGTGAAAATAAGTGCGGAAGCGGACCGAGGGATGATAACGCTAAATGTATGTAGGTAACAACTTGAGAAGGCCTGTGCGAAATTAGTTTGAAAACTCAAAATAGGGCTAGTATGAGTTTCAGTTTTTCAACAAAAATTATACTTCTAAAGTTTTGCCTCTCTAGATTTGCATCCCGTAAGACGAACAATCTCAGGATAAGAATATAATGGCTGCAAATCATGAAAAACACCGTATGGCCATAGAGAACAGTATATTGGGGAACCATGACACAGTTACAAAGTAACCTGTGTAGTCCAGTGTGGGATTTTTTTTTCTTTCACCCTCTCTAGAGGCATTCGAGATTTCGTGGGGAGTTCCCGGGAAAGTCCAGTAGTATAGGGGTGTTAGAGTGTGAAATGAACACCGACTAACACTAACCCTAACCCGAGAACTCCCCACGAAATCTCGGAGTTCTTGAGATCATCATCATCATCGTCATCATCCTGTAACACTGTGTGTAGTTGGGTCACCAGTTTCTGTTGACTGTCTGATCAGCTCTCTCCACCTTCGGCAGTCAGTTGCGATGGACTTCATGGTTGCATGCCTGAGGCCTGTCCAGTCAGTCAGGTTCTGTAACCAGGTCTTTCTTGGTCTGTCTCTTCTCCTCTTTCCTTGTACTGAGCCTTGCAATATTGTTTTGGGGAGGCCGTTCGATCGTTTTACATCTCTACACCACTGCATTTTTTCGTCTTTTCACTCTAGTTAAAAGAGGTCCATAGTTGCCAGTGTGCTTACAATGATATGAAAAACCTCTTCGTTTCTAATGTGGTCTCTGTATGTTATGCTAAAAATTTTTCTGAAACATCGCATTTCTTTTGAGTCCAGCTGTTGAGGTCCACGTTTCACAGCCATATGTGTATGTACTAATAACTTGTGCTCTGAGAATTCGAAACTTTAGCTTTGCAAAAATGTTTTTGGATCTCCATAATGTTTGCTGCCTGGCAAGGACTGCTGGTGTCTGGGCAATCCTAGACATGATTTCTGGTCTTGACCCCAGGTCACTTAAAATGGATCCTAAATATTTGAAATGATTGATTTGTTCCAATTTATGACCTTTAACGTACACTGGGGAAGTTATGCCTGGATAAGTAATTACTTTTTTTTTCTGCTTTTAATTCCATGCTATACTTGGTTGATGTTTCTTCGAGCAGATTCACAAGCTGGAGTAGCTCTTGTTCTTCTCCGGCCAACCCATCGATGTCGTCTGCAAACCTCAAGTTTCTTATAGTTCGACCTCCTATACTAACTGTTCCATGATGTTGTTCTAGGGTGTCAGTCATAATTCTTGCTAAGAATATGTTAAACAGTGTTGGGGAGAGGAGGCAGCCCTGTTGGACTCCTACTGTTGTTCGGAACCAGCTCCCTATTTGCCCGTTCAGCGTGACAGCACTGCTGGCCGTGGCATAAAGCTGTTCAATACTATGTATGAGGGTTTTACCCATAGTGTACTTTTTCATAGTGTCCCAGAGTACTGCGTGCCATACTATATCAATGGCCTTTTTAAAATAAATGAACACATGATATAGATGTTTTTGGTGCTGTTGGTACTACTCTGACAATGTGTGCAGATTAAGTTCTTATGCTGGAAGATATACAAGAAAATACCCCAGTGTGGGTGGTTTGAATGATGCTGACAGTATCAGAACCTATACAACAGATATTCATCAATGAGCTGACAACTGATGATTGTGGTGGTAAGTTCATGTGAAAAAGAAGGGGGAAAACCACACACACATACACTCACACACACAGACACACTCCATTTCACTTCCTTCTTTTTTAAGTTGTGATTAATCTGTTACAGGTAGAATCAAGTGATCAACCAGTACCCTAAGTGAGTGACTAACTGTGTGAGTACATCCACGATTGCAACAACAGTTGACTAGACAAAGATGACGGGGACACAAGGCATCTGAGTTAGTCTGCTGGAGTTTAAAGTAATCATGAGATCTGGTTTGGTCTTTTGGAGTTTAACGAAGTAGCTTCTATTGGTAAACACCCAACCCTGAAATGGCATTGCAACCCTCCTCGATTCCCAAGTTCACAACAGTAACTTGGAGCTCACCTCGAGTCACAGATTCTCATCTTACCTCCCCTGTTAACGGAATCGTACCGGATATCCGGTTAGAGCCTCCCTCACAAGACCTGGTTTTAGAGAATGTTCTGGACTACGATCTACCAGAAGATTTGAGAGGCAAGCTGAATGACATCGTAGATAGATTCCAATCGACAGGCCCAGTCGAACCAACTGACACCGTGAGCTTACCGAGAAGGTACGTGAGACGACTGTCTAACGCAGATACTTCGATGGCCTTGCCAGGTCCCGCTGTGGACGCCAGTGAAGAAGATATGCCGGCTAGGGAAAGAGATCTAACCACAGCCCTAGAGTGGATTCGGCAAGAAATTGTAAGCAAATTTTCATTTCAGTCTGTCTTTAAAATTGTCTTACTGTTTGTATTTACACCTATTAAGACAGCTTATGGCGGGGGGGGGGGGGGGTGTTGTCAGTCTGAGGATTTAAGGCATCACGGCTAGTGCAGTTGCCACGAACTGTGCAGTTTATTGAGACTAGAAAAAGCTGCAGAAGATGAGGAGGAGAAGGTTGAGAACAAAAATGCATAAAAGGAGAAGCATATAAAGTTGAGGAGGCTTTTTCCCTGCACAGAAAAATGCTGAGAATATGAAAAATAATAAGAGGAGGAAGAGGAGGATGAGCAGAAGAAGAAGAAGAAAAAAAAAACACAGAAAGATGATTATAAGGAGGAGACATTGATGGAGAAGAAGAATATAGAGGAAGATGAAGAAGATGGAAACGATAAGAACTATTCCCCGCACAGAATACGAATGAGAGTTGGAAGCAGAAGAAGAAGAAGAAGAAAAAGAAGAAGAAGAAGAAGAAGGAAGAGGTGAAGTGGGAGGGTAAGAATAAGGAGAAGGAGAAGGAGCTGGAGAAGAAGAAAAAGAAGTAAAAGAAGCAGAAACAGACGAAGAAGAAGACAAAGAAATAGAAGAATAAGAAGAACAAGAAGAAGGTTGGAGGAAAGGAAGAAGTATAAGAAGAAGAGAAAGAAGAAGAAGATCCTGCGCTCAACATGTACCACCAGAACATCCAGTACCTGTTATGTCTAGATCGTCGGCTCTGTGGCTAAGTCGATGCGAACGCTTCGTAATGCCGGGATGCCGGGTTCGATCCCAGCTGCGGGCACTGTGCCTTGCTTTGGTTTCGACAGTGGTATCAAGAAAGCCGACCGTCCAGGGGCACTGGCAAACTACTGGACGTAAATTTGCCTAGAAAACCCACACAACAGCCAGGGACTGTTGGGGTTGGTTCTGCAACGTCCTGTAAAGGATACGCAACTAACCTTTATGTCTAGATCAACAAGTTACCCAACAGCTCCACTTTACTCAAACCGTTAAAAAAGTTCGTCTGGCAACCTTGCCACAACCGTCACGTGACCGCCATGTTGACAACAAGTCTGCCCTGTTGACCCCTGCAGTCTCGGCGGATGCTGGGTTTAGGGAAGTGTTATTTTTAGCCCGGAGAAAGCAAATACTTGTGGACCTGAAGTTAGGGCACTTGTCACTGGAGTTGATCACGAAGAGCCACATTTGTCCGTGAGGTAACGCGTTTGTCGGCAGTAGTTGTCGCCCATGTTTTCTCTGTCAATGACGGTTTTTTCTTTCTTTGTTGTCTGCCGGAAACTGAGGTGTCGTGGGTTCACTAGCACCACTACCCCTATCATCATCATCACCCCTACTACAGACGTCATGATCATCGTCACCACTATCATCACCACCTCAGTCATCGCCATCGCAACTATATCAACCACCTCGATCACCCCCAAAACCAGCATCATCACCACCACCATCATCACCAACGTCATCATCATCATCACTTCCATCACCACCTCTATCATCATCATCACCGACACTGCCATCATCATCAGTACCAACATCACTATGACCACAACTCTCACAGGAGTTCCCGAGTCGAAGGACTGTGGTTAAGATACTCATCCAGATGGATTGTTAAAAGAAAGAATTACATCACAGTGAAGCCTAAAATGATTCACGATGGGGTAAACATCACGGCGGCCGCATTTACTTCCCAGGACTTTAGCTGGTTAGCATTTTAAGCTGGGTCACCCTGGGAGTCAAAGTCAATTTTGAAGAAAAAACCATACTCAATGTGGATTCGAACTCAAGAATTCAGGGCCTTGAGGCGAGCGTCCAGCCGCTGCACCACCACGGCTAAGATTTAAAATTGCTTTGGATATACTGACGTGTGTCCGAACAGTAGGATTCTCACGGTGCCCTGGTTATAATTTCTTGGGAGGTTTCACGGGATATCATGGCTTTGTCCTGTTGGATTGCCAGGCAAAATGCGACCCCTTGAGTCACGAGGGGTGTCAGACATTCATGTGGCAGGCCAGAGGAAAAAAGGCAGACATGTGATCAGTCAGCAGCACAAAAGGCTATTGACATGAAACAGACATTCGCCAAGCACGAAATAGGACATTTAAAAGGGTATGAAATAGACATTCTCGTCACATGAAATAGAGATTAGCCTTCCATGAAATATACATTCTTTTTGGCATTAAATAGACTTCTAAATTAAATGATTGAGACATTCAATTTGGCATTAAATAGACTTCTAAATTAAATGATTGAGACATTCAATTTAACATTAAATAGACTTCTACGTGGCATGAAATACATTCACTGGACGTGAAATAGTCATTCACTTTGCTGGAAACAGACATTCACTTGGCATGAAATAGTCATTCACTTTGATTGAAACAGACATTCACTTGCATGAAATAGTCATTCACTTTGCTGGAAACAGACATTCACTTGGCTTGAAATAGTCATTCACTTTGCTGGAAACAGACATTCACTTGGCTTGAAATAGACATTCAAAGTGGCATACAATTGACATTTACCCTTCAAGAAATAGCCAGTTACCTGGTATGAAATAGACATTCATCGTGGCATGAAATACAAACCCAAGCGGTGTGAAATAGACCCGCACGTTACACGAAAGAGACATCCAAGTGACATGAATATATATTCTGAGACATCAGCGTGACATCCGTATATTTTCACATAGCATTTTAATGAAGAATAGTAAGACAAAAATTGGACACATTGATCTAGAAATAGATTTAAACAGCAACTTGATATTAAATAGTTTCCATAAAAGACAACATTTGGAATTAATCTCTTAATGATGTGTTACATGTAAACTTTTAACAATTCTACATTTGTGAAATTACAATGGACGGAGATAACATCAGGCCGGATTTAGAAGCCAGTTTAAACAACAAAGTGGTATTATTTATTAGAGAGCTGGTGTCAAACTAGAAGTTAATCTTGTCGGGTCTTACGTGGATACATTTTAGACTAGCCAAACTGGCATGCCAGGCAAAAATAGACACACGTACATTGCGAATGAATTAATGGCACTGTAGCTGACATTAATTGTTGTTCCGTGTGCGTGCACGAGTTACAAAGCTAGGCTTGAAGTAACGTTAGTCTCCCCGCGCCCCGCCCATATACACACTAGTTCACTTCTGATTGGTAGTTCCTGAACCTGTCACTTTGGCACAAGGTTACGGAGGTGTTCCGCAAGGCCGTTGATATCGCTTATTGTATATTTCAGCACGCCAGCGCTTTTAACACTCCAAAAACATGGAGAAACTTGCCATAACAAAGGCATTCTCTTTCTCGGAATGAAAACTTCTTCTTCTTCGCGTTCACAGGCTGTTAGCTCTGGCGGAAAGTTCTAGTTGTTTATCCACCTCTGGACTTAAAGACTTGTTCCAGAACCTGAGTGCTATGTGCACATCCATTTTACAGATCTGACTTATTTGAATGCAGACTGTTGGTTCCTTACCTTTCAGGCAGATGCACTCCGACTTCGAATGAAACTCCCAATTAGTCGACTCTTACGACATGCTTTTGGGTAGGCGGTGGGTCTATTCTTGTTTTTCCCACAATGTGCCCTGGAACCCATACGGGAAGGAATGAAAACGTAAACGCAAGACGACGCAGAAAGCAAACAAACTTAGCGGAACACACCCGTAACCTTCAGGAAAGTCGACCAGCCCAACAAACGTGTGAATGAAAAGTGACCTACTTTGTTTGGGGAGACTTACGTGAACCAAACCCAAAGCTAGTATTTACAAAATACCATAATTACCCCCACCACCCCCATTTCCACCACCACAACACACGACTACGAGCAATATTACCACAGCAAATCAACAGAACATCGACAGCAGCAATAAAGAGTACCCTAAAGTAAAATAAAGTGAAGGACCTTTTTCACGTCTTTATGCGAACTGGTCACATAGGGCTGGTCCTATATTTTATAGAGCAATGGGCAGTCGGTGGGTGATGTGGTCAACATCAAACCGGCCACCTTTACTTCCTGTGATTTTACCTCGTACCTATTTGAGGCTGGGTCAACCTGGGAGCCAAGGTCGTTTAAAAACAATTCCGGCTGGAGACCATCATAAGAACACCATTAATACCACCACAATCACTACTGCTACTGCTGCTGCTGCTACTACTGCTGCTGCTGCTACTGCTGTTGCTACTGCTGCTGCTGCTGCTGCTGCTACTACTAAGACTATTGCAGCAGTAGCCGCAGCTATAACCCAGACTCGGCTCGCCAAAACAAATTTAACACGGGGGGGGGGGGGGGTTGGTAGTAATAATAGCAGTATTATTTGAAACGATACGACACATGATGATGATGACGACGGTGATCATAAGAGTGGATTATTTAAGGAATTACAATTTTGTTTATTAACTTAAAACATGCTGCCGTGCTAGCTCTGCACGGTCGCCATACAGATTTTCAAGGCAACAAATTAGAGGAGTTGAGGGGGAAAAAAAAGGGGGGGGGGGGAGGTACGCTCAAAGGGACCAAATCCTAGTTTAGCATAATAATAATAATAATAATAATAATAATGTTTTCAATGGTGAGGGGAAAAAAAACTATTAGCAACATTTTAAACAAAAACAAACTTAAATTACTTTCTACGGCTGTTACTACTGCTGCCACTACTACTGTTATAACTAACACTACATTAGCGCAATACAACTAGGCCCCCCTTTTTTCCCCCACTCCCCACCCCCCTCCACCCCCTCCCCAAACTGTTTTTTCTTCTTCCACCGACTCATGGATGCAACAAGTACGTGTATATTGTACCCAGGGATTGTGAAGTATTAAGGTTTGTTGCGTATCCTTTACAGGACGTTGCAGGACGTTGCAGAAATTGTCGTCCAGTAATTTGCCATTTCTTTCTGGACTGTCGGTTTTCTTGATATCACTGTCGAAACCAACGCAAGGAGCATGGCCGCGAGCTGGGATCGAACCCGGCATCGCGGCATTACAAAGCGTTCGCATCGACTTAGCCACAGAGCCGACGTGAAGAGTTAAGCCAGTCCAAATCTAATGCTGGCACAAATCAGTTGAAACCCGCTTTCTTCCCAAAGCTGACGACAATACGGCTTTAGAAATATCGCAGCAACAGATTTACAAATACACCGCCTGCCGCAGCGCTTCTTAGATTGTGGTTTTTGGGTTACTGATTTCTCCTTCTTTTTCTTCGCATTCAGCGGCTGCAAACTCCGACAGAAAGTTCTGGTTGTTCATCCACTTCTGGACTCCAGTCCTGTTGAAGAACCTGAGTGTTGCGTGTACATCCGTTTCACAGGTCTGACTCATTTGCATGCAGACTTTATTCCCTGCCACTCAGGCAGATGTACGACTTTGAAGGAAGCTCCTAATGAGTCTACTTTTACGACATGCTTATGGGCATGCAGTCGGTCTGTTCTTGTTTTCCCACACAATGGAGCCTCGGAAGCCACACGGGGAAGTTACTGATGTGAAAGGTGGGTCGTGTGTGTTCCACTTCAACGGTGGTCAGAGGAGGTGGCAGTAGAACCCGTACAGCTTGACCATTCGCAATAAAGGCTTCTGATCGTGGACAGACATGTCTGGAGGTCACGGATGAGGAGTATTGTCTGGGTCTTGTCTCCTGGGAAATGAACAGCCGGACAGATTGGCTGGCTCTGCACAACTTGGTGGAATAGTGATGAGGCGGGCGTGGTTAGGGCTTTGTGGGAGAACGTGTACAATTCGGAGGAGCAAATGGATCACCACAATTTGGTGAGAGTGATGCAGCGGGGAGTGACGAGAGGTTCTTGCCAATACTCGACGATAAGAGGAAAGACAAGACGGGCGTATGATCAGAATGCTATTTTCACCATTGGTACTGTGAATCTACGCTGGCTGCTGAATATGGGGACGGAGCGCTTGTGGGAATGTCCCGATAGCTGTGATGTCCGTTCTTGAATGAACTCAACTTATCCCACCTTCTAATCATCAGATGTAATTAAGTGTTTCCGTGAATATTTCGCTCTTGTTAATTCATATTTTATTTATATTTTTCTTATTTGGTTGCATTTAGTTGTTCCTTACCACTCGGGCAGATGCACTCTGACTGCACAGGAAGCCCCCAATTAGTCGACTCTTACGACATGCTTACTGGGGAGGCAGTGGATCTATTCTTGTTTTCCCCATAATGGGGTCTCAAAACCCACACGGGGATTGTAGCTGTTTGAATCTCCTCCATGACATATTATTCCTATGGACTACAAATCTGAAAAAGTTAAAAAGTAAAAAAAAAAAAAAAACACGCACTGTGACTTTTTTGGTAAAGGGACCGTCCTGTTTTCATGTACACAAATCCGTGTTGATATTATTATTTACTTCAAACACTAATTTCAAATTCAATAGGTTTTAAAACCTGAACTGTTTCACACAACATTACCGTAGTGAACCATCTCACGCCAATCGTTTGGGAACCATTGTGGTTTGCCGCCTACATTAGACCAGGCCAAGAGGAAGTAATCCCGATCAATATAACTCTTTCTATGGGATACAACTCAGTTCGATACAGTAAATCTCGTCACTTCAAGACGTGAGAAGTAAATTGCCAGGTTTTGTCCACACCTCTGACAATTGCTTAGAGACCAGCAGGAATGTAGACACTTTGTTGGGGCTTGTTCGGTTAAGTTGTACACAGGCCGGCACACTTGTTTGTGGGTGTGTAGTAATAATTGATAATACACTGCCCTCCCCCTCCTCCCCTTTTCTTTCAGTCTCTCTCTCTCTCTCTCTCTCTCTCTCTCTCTCTCTCTCTCTCTCTCTCTCTCTCTCTCTCCACGTATGTCTCAATGCGTGACACAGTTTTGCGTTAATTCAAGGCCCAGTCGGGAGTCCTTATATAATCTAACAGTTGAACGTAAGATGTGTTTTTCCCATGGAATGCCTTGCATTTGTGCAGCTGTTGTGTCGTTTTATTCAATATGGCCGGTCTCCGGTTTACGCGTGAGCTGGTGAAATACCTTATGTAATAATTCTACGTGTGTACAGTAACCAACTTATCGTGCCTGACTACTTCCATCAACGACAAACTGTATTTCTGGTGGCGATTGTTGGCTTTGGCACCTCCAGCAACTGAAATACGCATTCGCTGCGTGCACATATTTCTGGATTGTTCCGGAACTAGATGTTTATTTACCAGTTTTTCATGTGCGACAGTGAGGGACATTTCATTTGATTCGCACTGGTACAGGAACGGAGCAAGTATGGGGAAACCTGATTACGGTGATGTTGATTAACTCACGACTGAACGGGGTTTCTTGGAACTCTCACCGGGTGATCCTCACCGCATAGTGGCACTTTGTGTCACCAGGTGTTTATCGCTTGGTGGATGTCCTAGTGGGGTTGAAACTCTCTCTCTCTCTCTCTCTCTCTCTCTCTCTCTCTCTCTCTCTCTCTCTCTCAGTTAAACTTCGTCCCAATATGGGACACTATGTTTTTTTTAAAGCACTGCCCTGGCTGTAGTAGGAGGCCCTAATATAACCTAACGGTTGAACAGGGTTTCTGAGACTTGTACCTGGGTGATTCTCATCAGAATGGAAGCACTTTGTGTCACCAGGTGTTTTATCGCTCATTATGCGCTCCTGGGGGAGGATTGGGGCGTTGAATTTCACTCACCGGTGCCTCAGTATAACTACTCTTTAATTGAATGGTGCTTCTAGGATTTGTAAGGTGGGATTCTTATACTTGAGGTGTTAATCCTACAGACTGCAAACTTGGACGGAACAACCTACCTACACCCTTTCCATCTGTCTCTCTCTGTCTCTCTCTCTCTTTCTCTCTGTCTCTCTCTCTTTCCCCTCCCCCTATTCCATCGCTCCTACACACACAGTCCTGTTGGCTAATGTAACCTTTACGGGTGGTCTCACTTTGTAGCTTAAAGGGGTGCTAGTGAGATCTGTTATGTTTGTCTAGCATCTACATTGAATACAAACAAGAAGAAGATAATCGTGAACAGCTTCCCCCCCCCTCCCCCCAACCGCCCCTTCCCTTTTTTTAGAAACCCACCGCTATTTCACTTTTATTTTCAGTAACCTCTGATAATAGTTGAAGTTATAGAAACGGTGTATCATATACTTACTGACACAAGTTTGATTCACAAATTAACGCCATTATCTTATTGTCTTTTGCAGCTGGGCATGATGGGACAAGACGTGTGTCTTCTGAGACAGTTTATACAACTTCAAGACAGCATCCTACATCTGCGGTGTCTCTACGACATGCATGGCTCCTGCTCTGACGTCAGCAGCCTGAGCAGCAGCACTAGTTCCCTCAACGAGCAGCTGAGGTCGCCCATGCTCCAGCGTTTCAGACTCGACTCTCGAAGTTTCTGGAACAAACCCACCCTCTCATTGCCAAACTCTCCCCGGGCGCCAAGGTTCAAGTGGGGCCATGAAGAAGTCATCTAGTTGTGATGTGTTATAGTTGTTGCTCATCATCATCATGATCATCATGATCATCATCATCATCATCTTCATCATCATCAACATCCTCACTATTCTAATATTACCACCACCACTGCTGCTGCTATTACCACCACCACCACCACCACTACTACTACTACTACTACTACTATTACTACTACTACTACTACTACTATTACTACTATTACTACTACTATTACTACTATTGCTACTACTATTACTACCACTACTACTATTACTACTACTATTACTACTACTATTACTACTACTATTACTACTACTACTACTATTACTACTTTTACTACTACTATTACTACTATTACTACTACTACTACTATTACTACTACTATTACTACTACTACTACTACTATTACTACTACTATTACTACTACTACTACTACTATTACTACTATTACTACTACTACTACTATTACTACTAGTACTGCTATTACTAATACAACTACTACTACACTACTATTATTACTCACTACCTACCTACCTACCTACCTGCCTATCTACCTGCCTACCTAACTACCTACCTACCTACCTATCTGTTTGGGCTATGTCTAACTCAGCTGCAGAGAGTTGGCGTTTGCTTGTAAAGGTGGAACTGTAAAAGATACAAATATATATATGTATAGACAGAATGGGAAGAGCGGAGAGAGGGAGAGGAGAGACTGGATATGAGAGAGAGGCAGAGAGTAGGTAGATGGAAAGGAGAGAGAGAGAGAGAGAACAAGGTTTCAGTTGGAGAGATAAAAAAAGAAATGAAAGAAAGAAAATAACAGGGAGAGGTAGAGGGAGTAGACAGGAGAGAGAGAGAGATGGGGAGGGGGGGGGAGAATGAAAGAGAGGGACATAGCCCGCGAAAGATAGAGAGAGACACGTGCTTCTAGTTAATGTAAATAAGACAATAAAGATTCTGGTATTCTCGTCACCATCATACCATCATCATCATACCACTACCATCATCATTATCATACCACCACAATCATCATACCACCATCATCATCATCATCATACAACCACCATCATCATCATTATACCACCAACATCAACATCATATCACCAAAATCATCATCACACCACCACCATCATCGCCATCATACCACCATCATCATTATTTTCTTACCACCATTATCATCGTTATCACTGTCTGGTCAGTGCTCGTCTATTAAACAATTATTTGGACCTGTGGCTCAGGTGTGTTTGTGTGTGTGTGTGTGTGTGTGTGTGTGTGTGTGTGTGTGTGTTATCTGTTTAATTGTCAGCTGTATGATATCTGGTCAGTACTTGTCTATTAAACAATTATCTTGACCTCTGTGTATCTTATCTGTTTGTCAGCTGGTCGATATCTGGTCAGTGCTTGTCCAGTAAAGGATTATTTTGACCTCTCTCTCTCTCTCTCTCTCTCTGTCTCTCTCTCTCTCTCTCTCTCTCTCTCTCTCTCTCTCTCTGTACGTGTGTGTGTGCGTGCGTGCATGCCCGCGAGAGAGAGAGAGAGAGACAGAGACAGAGAGAGAGAGAGAGACAGAGAGAGAGAGAGAGACAGAGAGAGACAGACAGAGAGAGAGAGAGAGAGAGAGAGAGAGAGAGAGAGATCTGTTTAATTGTCGACTGTTGGATGCTTGATCAGTTCATGCACTTAGCACTCACAAATACGACTGACTAAAAGTCTTGCTGAAATCGGATATCTAGGACAAAAGACGCAGATAATCAAAGCTTAACGGTAAACCAAAACACAACATACCAACCACACAGTTCATGGCAGAAGGTAGAAGTGAAGGGCGAAGAAGAAGACGACGAAGAAGGGTGTGTGAGAAAGAGGATGAGCAGGAGGAGATGAAGAAATAAGTAGGTAGTTGCTTTGCTGGAGAGGAAAAAAAGGTTGACAAAATCGTCCCCAGTATCCAATAAGGGGGTAGCTTTAGGTTATAATTATGACTATGTTTATGTGCAGCATTTAAAATGGCGTAGCAGTGCTGGCCACCAAGTAGCACTGAAAAGGATTCCTGCAGTGTTGACGAGATCTAAGGAGACAGACCCAAATACTGTCCCAACTGGCAGCGTAGTCGTCAACCGGCGAGCCTATAGGCGATAGTGTACCATAACTCCTTTCTAAATGGCTAGGCCCATAGTTCACAGATTGTTTGGCAGTTGGTGGGTGATGTGGCCAGCACCAGGCCAACTGCCGCCTTTACTTTCTAGGACCTAACCTAGTAACCATTTAAGGCCGGGTTGACCTAGGAGCCAAGGTCGTTTTTGGATCGGTCGGTCGGTCGGTCATTGCTTTGCTGGAGAAAAAAAAATCTCTACTTTCAACCAGCATCCTTGAAGGGGGAGCTTTGTGTTATAATTATGACAAGATTATATGCGCCACATAAAATGACTTAGCTTTGCAGATCACCAAGAGCCCTTGAAAATACTCCTGCAGTGTTAATGCGATCGAAGGAGACAACCCAAATACTGCCTCCGACATCGACAAAGTCGTCTATTGGCGAGCCAATTAGCGACCCGATCGTCGATATCTGACCAAGGTGATACTTAACTAAGTTTTAACCTCGCTCTGAAGAGTCAGGTGCCCACTAGGACGGCGCTGAGAAGGGAGGAGGAGAATGGGTTGTTGTTTAGAAGGAGAATCCTTAAAGGAGAAAATATCCTTTCAACAAAAACCTCAAAAATCATATTTTTTTTCCTTTTTTTTTCCATCTCATTAAAAAAAAAATCTTCTTTTTCTTCTTCTTCTTCTTCTTCTTCTTCTTCTTCTTCTTCTTCTTCTTCTTCTTCTTCTTCTTCTTCTTCTTCTTCTTCTTCTTCTTCTTCTTCTTCTTCTTCTTCTTCTTCTTCTTCTTCTTCTTCTTCATCTTCATCATCTTCTTCTTCTTCTTCTTCTTCTTCTTCTTCTTCTTCTTCTTCTTCTTCTTCTTCTTCTTCTTCTTCTTCTTCTTCTTCTTCTTCTTCTTCTTCTTCTTCTTCTTCTTCTTCTTCTTCTTCTTCTTCTTCTTCTTCTTCTTCTTCTTCTTCGCCTTTACCGGCTGTAAACTCCGGGGGAAAATTCCAGGTGTTCGACCACTTCTGGACTTTAGTCCTGTTCCAGAACCTGAGTGTTGCGTGAACATCCGTTTCACAGATCTGATTCATGTGTGTGTAAATTTTTGGTTTCTCGCGTCTCGGGCAGATGCATTCTAACTTCGAGGAAAGCTCCCAATCAGTCGACTCTTACGGCATGCTTCTGGGTAGGCAGTGTATTCCAAAGAAAAGTTTGTACACAAAACATAACTTTTGGCCTCTAAACAAGATGTATATCAAGTTGTACGTATTACAAAGCGTTGTACAACGAGATGTTGGCAGTTGCGTAAACTTTTAGAGGACGTTGCAGAACCAACCCAAGCATTTTTTGGCTCTTGTGGTTTTTCTAGGCAAATTTACTTAAAGTAGTTAGGCATTGCTTTTTGGACGGTCGGTTTCTTGATACCACTGTCGAAACCAACGCAAGCAGCAAGGCCCGCAGCTGGGATTGGACCCGCAACAGCGGTAAATGGAGAGTGAGAAGCAACAACGAAATTGATAATCTGTTTAAATAACCACTGATCACTGGCATCATAAGAGCTAATAGACTAAAAAGGTTGGGGCATACTGAAAGAATGACAGAGAAGTTAAAAGTGTATACATGAGGGAGATGATTGGTCATAGACCACGATGCAGGCCAAGAAGACGATGGAGAGATAATATCCAGACAGACCTGCAAACACTTGGTGTAACCAACTGGAAAGAGAAGGCCAACCAGAGAGATGAATGGAGGCGGGTAATATCTGCAGCACTGAACCTCAAAGGCTCGGAATGCTGAAGAAGAAGAAGAAGTTCGCAACGTCTAATCCACAGACGGCGACTGTTCCCCGAGATATGATTGTATTCTATTCAAGGTGTCTGACAGTTTGAGGTCTTACTTAGTTGTTTGTGATTTTTGGCTGGTCGTGTCATTTTATCTACGGATTTAATTATTCTAAAATATTCAGAAATATTTTCTGATCTCTGTTGTGTCTTTTGAGGCAGGATTAAGGGCTCTAATCCATATGTACTGCTTCAGACAAGGATCTTATGCTTGTCTGGGTTTTAGAAGTGAATTCAGGCCAGTTATGTAAAGTACGCTCGTAGATGTGAGTTGTCGACTATCTCGCAGTCCTTAGAGAAGAAAATATCGACTTTTGAAGTACATAGACAGATTCTCAGAATACCTTGGACAAAGAAGACGAGAAATACAGACATTCTAAAACAGTGTTTCCCAAACATGCCTTACGAAGAGTATAGGCGGTGATCCTTTGTAATCCTGCTCAGTTGGTAGAATTACGCAAATGATGATTGATGTTCTTGTACCGCCTCATGCATGTAAAGAAGCCATAAAGGCATATATCTTTTTGATTTCACCATGTCCTCTTTCTATCAATCTTACCAGTTTTTGCCAAGTTCTCGAGTCTTTTCTTTGCACTGAGATTAGTGTAGTTGGAACAGAATGATGTGATGGTAACTGTGTTTTGTTTTCGTCTTAATTTCTACCGCTTACAACATGCTCTGGTCTTTGATTGTTATGGTTTTCCTGCAACTGGAGGTTTCAACGACGAATGAACATCATGGCACACGGGTAGTAACTCATAAGTGCTCCGTTCTCCTTCTAACGCAAGTCTGAGTCTAAAGAAGCTCAGCACATTGCACAAGCTCTGTAGCACCGGTGAGGAGCCTGAAATACTTTGGGTAGGTTTTTAACTCCAAATTTTGCCTGGGCAGCGCCGTTAGGCTACTCTTTTCGATTTCCAACCTGCAAGGGATTTTTTTCACGTGCTCAAAATGCACACGGGTATCCGATCTCACTACCCAGAGACCAGGGGGAATTACTAAGTCCAAGTCCACTTGAAGAAATCCCAGCCTTAAACGGGGATTTAACCTGGAACCTCTAGCACGCAAGGCGGACACCATGCCTCGAGACCACG